ACATTGCTAGAGTCCAGTCGGGCTGTTTGACAAACTCGCGAACGCTGCTAATAAGTCGGTCAACCTGGGTTCCGCCAGAAATGACAGCAAGTTGGCCGTGTAGTTCGTTGATGTGGATCAGGATGCCCATCACCCAGCCGAAGATGGTGGTAGTGCGGCCGGCCAGGGGCTGCGGCATCCTGTCCCAGCTCTGGTGTACAAGCGTCCTGTCCGCGTTTTATTCTTATTTTTATGTTACATTGTTGTACATGAATAGTCCTGGTGTCAACAAACTCTTCTACTAGTTTTGAATCGGTGTCAAGAAACTCTTCTACTAGTTTTGAACACCGTTGATGTACCGTTATATAAAACGCCGTGCGATGTATTAGTTCAGTTATAATTCCTGACAAGTCGTCCATACCTGTGGAGTTGTAAATATACGCAAATACGAGCTGAAAGACTGGAAAATAGGAGCCAGGTAGAAATAATTTCGATAACAATTGAACACCTGTGAAATCATTAATCAATGTTCGCCAACCAGTTTTCTCCGTAATTCAGCTAGCAATCCTCGTACTGCGTTTGAAGAGACATTTACAGTGAGGTTCGAACTTATAGAAGACAAAAAAAAAAACGAACTATAGTCCGGTAGACCAGCCCGCTCCCAGCAGAGTTAGACCCCCACGACGCTCCTCCATAGGCAGCACTTGTGAGCCCGCCAGCACCTCTGCGACATTTGAACATCGGCTAACACATCGAGCGGGCCCTGCCGAGTGGGTCGATGGTACCGCGAAGCTTTTCACTTTGCAGCTTTTGACCAAAATGGAAGCTAAGTCATGTCGCTGTGTGGGGCACTTGCAGTGCATTCAGGTGAAAATGTCCACTGCGCCTTGGAACATCGAACTGCAGACGACAGCGAAGGACAGGGTATATAATATAAAAACAGCGGCGCAGCTAACTATTCCGACATCTGTTACGCACATACATTGCTGGTGAATTAGGACACCATAGGATCACACAGATAACCGATAAGGATAAGTGGCAATCAGACACAAAAGATCATCAAAACTCATTTTACCTAGGCTGTGGCTATTAATGAAGAATTTGAGTCTTTCAATTTCCAGGTACCTTTCGTAATATTTTCATTAGTTATTTCAGGTCATGGTCAGTTTTATTATCAGGTCATAACCGAAGGCTTGTTGTCATTAGTTAAAACACTATTCGTAAGAATTAGTTCAATTGGAAAACGAATCTGAGTTCCCTGTCAATTATGCAAATATCAGTTTTGACAGCAAGCCTCGGTGATTCAGCGCCGACCGAGAAGTCGGGCTGTGTCATTCGATCCTCTCCCATCGGGCCGCTCATCTGTTCGCTGAATGAGCGGCTCATCTGTTCGCTAGATGAGCGGCTCATCTGTCCGCCGGATGAACCGAACCCGTCGGAGCGTCAGACGCCCTGCCGTCCGATCAGATGGGACAACCCTTTGTTGACAGAGGGAGGTTCGGAACGATGACCGGTACTCAGCCTTCTGACACGGGCGCCGTTGGTATGGGAGCGCTATGCGAGAGTCGATCAGCACGTGTGGGCGGTCAGCTCGGTAAATCGATGGATGGCCAACCTATCTAATGTTTACAGTATGCCGGCCTGCCGTACCGTCCACACATTCCAGTCGTTCATCTACTGACATGCGCCGATTGTTGACAATCCCGCTCACACACAAAACATGCCTCCTAGCTCAATTGTTTGAGGTTTAAAGTCTGACAGACACAGGAACTCTGGGAGCCGCTCAACCCATCTACAACAAATCATTTTGACAGAGGGGTTTCATGATGGCGGTGGTGACCAGTTTGGCGGAAGAGATGGTCTGCGCCAGCTAGGCCACGTACTCTTCTGCGGTTTTATTTAGGGAGGTGACGCCACTTAATGCGGTTTTCCTTATCTATCATCTCCCATGTTGCCTAATTTTATTATACTTCGTCGGTAAATTCCACGAAGAAAGGAATTTATTTCGACTATTGCTTGCAATTGTGAAAAATGCGTTCAGTTTTTGGACAATGACACATCGTAGGTATGTAAAATAAATAAATGGTTTGCCCTGTTATTCATTTCCAAGTGACATACGTAAACGTGCCGAAGGAGATTTATCGAATGACAAAACTTATCGGAAAAAAGCGCCGGGGCATGCGAATGACTTCCCTCTCGTGAAGAGTTATCGGCGAATCTCACGAGACACATGGCAAAGAGCCGACCTGTGTGTTGCCTGGCACGGGGTGAGCATTATTTCAAACATCTGCTCTCAGTGCACGATGAACGGGAGGGTTGTTTTTCGTTTGACACTTAAAGACCGACCAAGGCCTTGTAGCCGCTGTAGTCTCCGCAACAACGACATTTTTTACACTTAGTGAATGCCGTGATAACCATGCCTAATGTATTAACCCGCGCACCGACCGGGGGGGGGGGGCGGATATCCCCCCCCTGAGGTTTTTCGCGGATAGCGAGAAAACCGCGGCGCGGCGCGAAATTTGGTATGACTATTCTCTCATCAATTTTGCACATGGTGTGCAAGTTTGAACCTCCTAACTTTCAAGGTCAGGTCACCAGGTCACTTTGAATGACCCAACATCAAGTCACTTTTTTGCAACTTTGTCACCGTGCCAGAGCTACAGTAGATGTCGGAGGCCTTTGAAAGTCGCAGGATGTTATTAGGTCATTAGTAGCTACAATTTGTATATCTCGGAATTTCGATGTCGGTGACCTAAGGTCAGGTCAATTTCGCGACCTCCCCATTATAAGTCAATGCAATGGGGGAAAAATCAACTCCCTGTTTTTACCACTAAAACGGGTCGGAATGGCCCCATATACCAAACATGACTTCATATACGATCAACCTTCACTACCTTGAGGTCTGTTTTGCTGTTGGGCAGCTGTAAGGTCATGTGACGTCATCAAAGGTCACCAGCGGTTTTTTGCCAATAACTCCGTACAGGAACAAGATACAGCCGCGCGGATGGTCTCATTGTGTTCAGCTCGTCAAGACGCATCGAATGATATACATGATGACCTCGAGGTCACGTGACCTGAGGTCAACTTTTGACCTTGACCTTTCGAGGTCAACATATATATCATTCGATGCGGATTGACGAGAGGATCATGATGATGCCCTTAGTTTGTTCTTATCTTGACTAATTCGAAAGTTATTCGAGAAAAACTCCATATCTAGCGCCGCCATTTTGACTTTTTCGACCCCTGTGACGTCATCTTTGACCTGACCTGAAAATGACCTTGGTAAAAATTGTAGACCTTGTCCGTGCGTATCCGATGCCGTTTGCCGCTTGTCGCTATCTTGCTTCGTTCTCGAGATCTCAGGGGGGGGGGGGCGGTCATCCGCCCCCCCGTCGGTGCGAAGTTGGCGCACCGACTTCGGTGCGCGGGTTAAAATGAATAACTCTCTTAATTTTCACCCTCTTTCATTCCTATTTGTAGATTTTATGTATTTAAAGCGCGCACCGTGCAGCGGAATTCAAACTCGCTAAGCAATCAACACCTACAAAACTGCACTGAAAACAGTTTAACCCAGAGCCGGCGAGTAAACCGGTGTTTCGCGGGTACCCCTATCCGCAACCATTTTTAACCACCCTCCCAGGAGTACAGTAAGGTCCCATTTCAGTGTAGCCGTATCTGCCTCAGCGGTTATATCCGCTCAGAGCAGGTATGACTAAAAGGGGTTACCCTCCACGCCTACCCTTCACCGACCAAGTCACGAGGGCCAACATTAAAGCCACGTGCTATGTTACAGCGCCACAGGCAATGGCCATGAATTGGCTATCGTATGCACCCTCGAGGGCAACGGGATGACATGATCGTCCGCCGCCACACCCCCTCCGCGGGGCGGGTCCTTGAATAGGGGCATTGTACCGCCGCCCGAGGCACAGGGGCGCGGCACGAACCTCTCCTCGGGGTATTTGTTGTCATGCACTTACAGCTGCTGCATGATCGCCAAATCGAGAATCACGATGTTAATTAGAGAGTATCGTTCGGCTTATGAACTGTGCAAAGATGGCCTTCAAAAGCGCCGCTGGTTTTCACGTGAGCTGATATCATGGCCGTTTTAGGGCTGCTCAGTTGTCAATGATTACGATCATGGGATTTATACAACTGGAAATGCGTAGTAGGTGTTGGGCTCTGATGGAAAGGTCAGACCTTCAGCCGCATTTGGGGCATCATTTCGTATCCGCGGTCACTAATCCCACCCTAGCGCGCTCAGTTTTAGACCGAGGCTAAGCACGCTCGTATTGGACAAACAAGTTCAGAATACCTCTGAGAGAAGGGGGAGGGGGACATTTTTCACACCCTAATTTTGCAAACTTTTGCGAATAACCGAAGGTTTGTGTTCAATAGTTATGGAGGTATTCGTTAGTAGTGCTTTTTTATTGAAGAACAAATCTGAGTCCCTGACAATTTTGTACTGTAGAATGATAGCCATCAGCATAGTTCGTAGATGTGTAGATCATGATGATACAAACGTGTTTTTTATTTAATTGTCTCTATGGTAGTTTTAATATCATTGTCACATTTACAAAACCCTCTCTTACTCGCGATTCTTTTGCGAGTTGGCAAAACCATCTTTTTTTTTAGAGATGACGTGAACAAAACCGAAAACACATGCAATATGAAGTCTTTAATGAAAATCATTGCTTTTTTGTCTACTTTTTTTCACAAAATCGGGCTCGGTAGCTATCCCTGTCATTTGATTGAGATGTCCAGTACCCCGATACACTTTTCTGCTTAAAATACCCCTGGTCCTAGCGCTTCCCTATGAGCTGTACAGTGTCCACAGTCCCATGGCAGCCAGCAGCGCCCTCCCATTTTGTCTGAGCCACCCTCCTATTTCGTCTGAGACAGCCCATGGGAGCCCGGCAACAGCGCCCCCTCATATCACCTGCCCCAGCGAGGCTCAGCCTAGCAGCGCCCCCTCCTCCCAGCCACCCATATCCCGTCACCCAGCGCCCCCTCGTCTCCTCCAGTCGGTGCCACCCGCCCCCCGTCTCTGAGATGCCCTCGAGCCCGCCGGGCCGTCCGTCCCAGCTCGGTTCGCTCGGCTCCAGTCGAGTCAGTCGACCGTCGAACCTGACGCCGTGAGGGGCGCTTGTCGCGCGCTCGGGCACAGCTGCTGCGTCCCCCTGGAGAACGCCTCGAGACGACTGGTGGCCAGGGAGGAGGCGGACAGGAACATGGACGGAAGGTGAGGAAATGGGCTTGGCTGAGGGTGGGTGTATCGCCGACAGGAACGAAAACCGAGAGTTATTTTACTCTTGACGGAACAATTTTTATAGGTGCCATGACCATGCGCGCTCCGCGTGGTTAGACGTTTACGAAAATATGTTAAATATCTGTGATATATTGGATACTGGCTCATCCCTTTTCCCTTAGAAATAAATTTTCCTACAGCCATAAAACAATATTTTGTTATGTCTTTTTATTCGAGTTAAAACATTTTCCTTAAAATGTTATCTTGCGTCTTGAAATTAAATTTGAAAATGATCTGCTAAATGTCGCATCGCTGATAATAGAAATGTTTTCTCAACATATTATTCCTATCAAAAATCAATTTGGAAATGATTGCGGGAGAGTAAATTTTATAAAAATATTACCTACTTTTCGGATTTCTACACAAAATAATACCGGGCGATGCTTTTTTTTTTGGGGGGGGGGGGCTTCATGGAGCGCTAGTGCCGGCCCGATTTGTTGCTAGTTACTTGGCAAACAGCATTTTCGACTTTAATAGCTCTTTAGCTTTTATTAAACTTATGTTTGTGATGCCATTACAAAACGGAACATTGGGTGCATTTACAATTAGCTTATTGTTTTCTAAAAAAGGGTTATCAACAACCTATTAAATCACACTTGTCTTACGATTGCAGTCTTTCAGGTTTATTACATAGTTAGACGGTAGCGAAATGCCTTTCATCGTCTGCGAAATGCCTTTGGTTGGCGTCGGAATGCCTTTCGCCGCGACCCTGTACCCGTTCAGTGACCTTGCTCTGACAGTCGGTTATCGTGTCATTATACGCTCCGGTTCAGTTTGGGTCGGGTTCGCAGAAATTTCAATGACAGCGATAGGGAACGAATATATTTATCATTACATTTTTAGAATTGATATGCATCTGTGCGTATTTGAAAAGAATGGTAGGCATGCATACCACCGGCATGATCAAATAAGATGGTCTCCCTATATACTGTTATCCTTCGAAAAGTTGTAATGCGAACGATCGAGAGGTTCGTGCGATCTCCGTCCTTTGCAATTGGCTCGTATACATATGTAAGTAAAACACCAAAAGTACGCAACTTAAAGGTGAGCTTATTGGCCTATAGAAGGTAGAGTTTCAAGGCTGCTTAGATAAACCGATAAATGGTAGGAATAAATTGCGTGCCCCGTATCTGGACGAGAGCTACTAAAAGATGATCGATATAGCAGCTCGTGCTTACAACACCAAAGGGTTTCCATGAAACTCACTATTGTTAGGTACTTACTCATCTTTGTGTTGCAGCATTGCCCATTGTCTATGGTTGCAAGTGTGCTTACTAGCCGCGAACGTAAGTTCTGATGAGTTGTGCGTGCTAAGCTTCAAGGTCATAAAAATGATGTAGATAAGAGGTGTATGTCCATTTATGCCACCGCGTCGTGGAGTGTTGCGTTAGCTGCAGTTACACTCTATTGCTGCTTGTATCATGGATGTGACATCAAATAGGTAATTTAGTTTTCTAAAGTGATTACTAAATGCAAATCTGCTAAATAAAAAGTCTTACTAACATTTTTAAGGATTTTTTATGTTTACTCTTGCGGTAATCCTTCCAAATAACTGAAATAATATTTACTGTGTACGCGCCTATTTGCCTTGTCTTTCAGAGCGTCATGCAATTATTAGGTAATGTAAAATATACTTCTTACGACATGCTTTATTTCCTGGTGATGGTGATGATGATAGAACTATGAAAGCTAAATTCATTTGCTCAAAGTGTATGAACTATCGCCTGAATGGATTTGTCGGATTTATCTGACATTCATCATTAGGTGTAGCCCAAATCTCATTAATCCTCATTTTCAAGGATGCAGTTACATGAAATCCTGTGCATTATGCAACGAAAAGCTAACTTCCTTCCGAGGACATCCCACAATTTTTATTGCGTCGTACGGCGTCGGTCAGCCCCCCCCCCCCGCCACCTGCACCAGCCGGTCATCGAATGCCCCCCCCCCTCTCCGACTGCTGGAACGTTCCTGGACGTCTGCCGCGTCCTTCAGTCAGCACTGGGGACCGCCGAACGCTCGCGCCGCTATGAAGGGCTGGTTTTTCACAGTATCAGCACCCGGCCACTCGGACATCGCTTCAGTAACGAGCCTTGACACAGATCGACAGCGAGCGCATCTTTCCGTCATCTGGCCGCAGCGGTCGATTGTCGAGCCGATCATCGATGAAAAGATGGACAATTGTCGTGACCAGTGGAGACGATTTCAATGGATCTGAAGCGTCCTCCAACAGGAGCTATCAGCTACTGCTTACTTCCGGGGGGCTCTATTGGCTCTATAGTCAGGGAATAACCGAGATCAATATTAACGATACTGAGCATTGCAAAAATTCCCGGCTTACATACAAATACCTATTTGTAAATCGGATTAGCGGTTAGCTGGCTCGTCTGTCGTCATGATAATGCGACGCGAGCTGAACTTCTTGATAGTGGTCCTTGGCATTTGGATAGGTTCACCAGAGCTTTGTGCCAACTGGATGCTTTCGTTCTACTAAAACCGACACAGCATTAACAGATACAGTCATTGCTTGGTGTGTGACTAGAGCAACTAGAAGTCGCAAATTTTCGTGAGCTGTATCGAAAGATGACTTGTACCTGGTAAGCATTTCTCAGAGTGGAAATGGGAGTGGATTCTGCCCAAATGTCGTCATGGTATAACACTGCTCCTGGGTTTCCTACGCATTAGACAATGTAAAAAAGTCAACAATGCTGCCCTCGTTGCCATGGTGTCAGCAGGCTAGACATTGCGGATGTGTCTACCGGCATGATCAGGGCAGAGAACGTTCTAGCTTTCTGTGCCCAGTGGATTTTCTTAAATCCTGTATGTATGGTTATGTTTAAAAACAAACATGTAAGATAAGATAAATGTAGCAATGTTTTATGGTGTCAGTGACCCTAAATTACATTCATTCTGCAGCTAACTTTCAGCGACATGCCTTTATCTCATGTTGACGGAAAATGTAAAACTCATACATGATACCTGAGGCCATTTACCGTTGCGACATGTGTTAGATCGTGACTTTTTCCAAAGATCTGCATGCTTATTCGAGAGCTGATGTAAGACGCCTAGTCAACTGTTAACCCTTATATAAACTGGTGCAAACTGGCCACTTTTCAAATGATACTTAAAATATCAACGGGCGCACTTGACCCACATCATTACCTATCCATGAAAAAATACCCTCATGGACACCCGTTTCGACTCAGAATTGTGAACTCACGTTATATCTGCGCTGCCCTGAGCTCGGTGACACCGCCGCGAACACTGAGTAAATAATGGAGGCCGAGCTGCCGCTTGTGACAAGGAGCTATAACCACTCAGCCTTCGCTGTCTCCTTACCGATGGCAGGTGTCCAAAACAGGCCGTCCACCGGGTTACCTTGAGCAGCAGTTCGCCGGGGGTTCTGCATGCTATCAGCGGATTAGGTCAACATATATCTGTGTACTAGGTCACGGGTCAAGTGCACGTGTAACAGGGCCCATGCTGTCTGTACCGGTCACCGGCAGCCGGTGCCGCAGGTCGTGCATATTTAACGGGCGTTTCGTTGGTATTTCCATCACGTTTTGAGTGACGTCAGTGGGCAAGTTATGGCCCTCTCTTTGTGTCATGCCACCCAGTTGGGGCAGGGCCAACCAGAGGCCGATACTCTACCGCCCACTTGGGTCAACATAGGCCACTGATTAGACCTTATGAGGTATAGCCTAGTCGCAGCAGGATGACTACAACTTTGACTCAATTTTCTACTCCAGAGCTAAGACAGGGAAGCACCATACGATAGTTAACAATATTCATTACACGTTGAACAAATGAGAATGATGAGATTCAAAAACGGCAATTCTTGCACAATGGCGTCACACAGAACCCATATTGTAGCATTAACCACACTACCCAGCGCGTTCATATAAGGCTAAACTTTCATTGCGCCAATCTGAGCAGTCTCAGAATTCGATCAGTCATCCCACATTTGGCCTGACAGGTGTCTGGACTGCTGTCATGACAGGGATCTGGCGACAAAACCGCTACCCCGGGCGCCACGTGCCCGCCCGATCAGCCTCGCCCACTGCTATCAACACACTGTTCTGGGGTTGCACAAGGTTCGTGCGGTTGCCCGCCTCGATTTGTGTTGAACACGACTCAGACACAAATCTATGCTTCAGGTGATTATGAAACCGGGGGCCTAGAAATGCATCGTTTATATGGCGAAAGTGAGCCCATTGTCTTGACCTCACGTAAGCAAATTGTTTTGAGCGTGAAAAAGAGCCGCTTTGAGTCGACCGTCTTCCGTCTTGGCATTCAAGCTTTACAAATAGGTACGTTCATCCGAGTACAAAAAAAAGATAAAGTAGAATGAGTTAGGTTACTGAACGGGAGTGATCAATATAATTGCGTTTTGAACTGTGTCAACCATACAGCTGATATAGGTACCTACAAGCTGAACTTTGGCAGGCAGAGCTGGGTGAAGAAATCGAATTGCTGATATTTGGACAGGTGCAGCTGGACAACAGAACCAAACTGCTGAGTGTTTTTACAGATTGAGCCAGACGGCAGAACTTTTACTGTCCAGGCTTTCTAACAGGCGAAGCTTAGCGATGGAACAAAACTACTAAATATTTTTTTAAACAGGCTCAGCTAGGCGGCGGAAATGAACTTCTGAGGCCTTATGCCAACTGAGCTGGCTTACGGAATAGAGCTGCTAAGGTTTTTGAGCAGGCGAAGCTAGGGTGGGGGAACAGAATGCTGAGTGCTGATACTGTAGCTCACGGATCGGTCGGTTGGCAGTGTGAACCGGCACACTGCGCGCGCTGCCGGTGGCCTCACAAGGTCGCCAGGCGACCCGGGGCCGCAGAGCCGTGACTGTGCGCTGCACTGCACCATGACTGTCTATTAGTCATGCTTCAGCTCTGACGTTCACTGGGGGTGGGGAGCGGCACTCATACACTCACACAGTGCACTATGGCTGGAGTGGGCTGAGGCGGGTGTGAGAAAAGATGATAAATTGCAAGTAATGCTGCAGTCATCCATTTGTGTGAATGCGTTATCACTAATCGCTTTGACGGCTTGATTAACGATAGTGTAGATCTTGTAGGTGTATGAGTCAGACCATTCTTCAAGGAAGCACCTCCATTCAATGCACTGTAACGCGATGCAAAGCTCGCATTGGATGGAATGAATTCCTGGTTTAATTAATGACGAATTTAGGGAAGTAACCTCAACCAATGGTGGATCATAAGCTACAATATTCTATAATTATACGATAAATAGTTGTTTATGGCTTGCGTGACAATGCCTTACTACTTTTTGCTGTTCTTGTGTTTGTATCGGAGCAGATGCTGTCGAAAACTTTGTTCGTGTATGGCTGGAAGTGCGTTAGAACGATTAAGGAGAAGGCAACAATTTTTCGCGCATGATGCATAACTTAGATATTAACCCATTAATGCCGCTTGGGTCATATATGACCCAAAAGCAACATCTTAACATTTTTTCTAAATGGAGGCAAGTGGCACTTTGAGGAACTTGTGCGTGTGTTTTGTTGGATTTGTGGGTTCAGCGACGAGCGTCTGAGCCGCATAAAACTCGTGTGAGCTCGTCCACTGAAGTTTCTGGAGCCAAAGGCGACGGGACTGCACAACCGCCGGTCACAGGAAATGGCGCGCCGTCCCAAAAAGTAATATTATATTATGTTTGCACTTTACTATCTATTGAATGATCGTCCACCTGGCATCTAAATTTGTCTGAAAAAGGCATGATGTATATTTTTGCCCTTCTTGTCGCCATCGGATAACTTTTTTTCCTCGATAAATATCCTTGGGTCATAAATGACCCAGCCGGCAATAGTGTTGTCAATTTTCTCGTATGTTGAATACAAGGGAAGCAATTGATGATTATACGATTATTTATTTCTGGGGATTGTGGTCAGATCACAGTGGTGGATCCAAAGGAGGGGGGTCATATGGGTCACTCATGACCTCCCCTGGGACCCGGGGGCACCACCGACCTATCAGGGGCACCACAGGCCTAGTGTTGCGATGTTGGGATATCATGAGCGGACCGGTTGTCCGGGGCCGTGACGCGGGGCGGGCCGGCGACTCGGCCGGCCGAGGGGCACCACGGGCCTGTCAGGGGTACCACAGGCTTGTTAGGGGCACCACAGGTCCGCAGGAGCACCATCGGCCTAGCAAGAGCACCACAGGTCTGTCAGGGGGCACCACAGACCTGCCAGGGGCACCCGCCAGAGGCCTGCCAGGGGCACCATCGACCTCACAGGGGTACCACCAGCCTCGCACGTGCACCTTGGGCTTGTAAAGGGCTCCACGGGCCTGTCGGGAGCACTTCAGGTTTGTCAGGGGCACCACAGTCCTGCCAGGACCCAGGGGCACCAGCGGCCTAGCAGGAGCACCACAGGCCCGCCAGGGGCACCACAGGCCTGCCAGGGGCACAACAAACCTAGCAATGACACCACAGACCTGTCAGGGGCTCCACAAGCCTGTCAGGGGCACCTCAGGCTTGTCAGGGCCCAGGGGCACCACAGTCCTTCCAGGGACACCACAGGCCCGTCAGGCCTATGGTGTCCCCTCAGGAGCACCATAGGCCTAACAGGGGTACCACAGGCCTGCCAGCGGCACCAACGGCCTCGCCAATGAGACGTTGCAAAGCATTGCAATGCAGTGCCTCTTAACCCTATTCCTGGCGGGCTCCGCCGGGACAAGAAACTGGCGGGGGGGGGCCGATTCGGCTCCCCCCTGAGATCTCGAGAACGAAGCAAGATAGCGACAAGCGGTAAACGGCATCGGATACGCACGGCCAAGATCTACAATTTTTACAAAGGTCATTTTCAGGTCAGGTCAAAGATGACGTCACAGGGGTCGAAAAAGTCAAAATGGCGGCGCTAGATATGGAGATAGTTTTTCTCGAATAACTTTCGAATTAGTCAAGATAGGAACAAACTAAGGGCATCATCGTGATCCTCTCGTCAATCCGCATCGAATGGTATATATGTTGACCTCGAAAGGTCAAGGTCAAAGGTTGACCTCAGGTCACGTGACCTCGAGGTCATCATGTATATCATTCGATGCGTCTTGACGAGCTGAACACAATGAGACCATCCACGCGTCTGTATCTTGTTCCTGTACGGAGTTATTGGCCAAAAACCTTTGGTGACCTTTGATGACGTCACATGACCTCACAGCTGCCCAACAGCAAAACAGACCTCAAGGTAGTGAAGGTTGATCGTATATGAAGTCATGTATGGTATATGGGGCCATTCCGACCCGTTTTAGTGGTAAAAACAGGGAGTTGATTTTTCCCCCATTGACTTATAATGGGGAGGTCGCGAAATTGACCTGACCTTAGGTCACCGATATCAAAATTCCGAGATATACAAATTGCACATACTGGTACCCTAACTAAACCCTGAAGAGAAGAAATTGATCGGTCAAAAACTCTAGCTCTGGCGTGATTGCAAACTTTTCTGAGATAGGGTCACCAAACCGCCTCTGGTGACCTGACCTGAGGTCAGATCAACTCAAAATTTTCAGACATGTTGCGTAGAAGCCTTTTAGGAAAAGTCAGAAAATTTGAGCTTCCTAGCTCAACGCGTTTGGGAGAAATAATAAAAAAAACCTCAGGGGGGGGGGGCTCCTGAGGCCCCCCCCCCCCGCCAGGAATAGGGTTAACCCGCGCACCGACGGGGGGGCGGATATCCGCCCCCCCTGAGGTTTTTCGCGAATAGCGGGAAAACCGCGGCGCGTAGCGCCGCGAAATTTGGTATGACTATAACCTCATCAATTTTACACATGGTGTGCAAGTTTGAACCTCCTACCTTTTAAGGTCAGGTCACCAGGTCACTTTGAATGACCCAACCTCAAGTCACTTTTTTGCAACTTTGTCACCGTGCCACAGCTACAGTAGATGTCGGAGGCCTTTGAAAGTCGCAGGATATTATTAGGTCATTAGTAGCTACAATTTGTATATCTCGGAATTTTGATTTCGGTGACCTAAGGTCAGGTCAATTTCGCGACCTCCCCATTATAAGTCAATGGGGGAAAAATCAACTCCCTGTTTTTACCACTAAAACGGGTCGGAATGGCCCCATATACCATACATGACTTCATATACGATCAACCTTCACTACCTTGAGGTCTGTTTTGCTGTTGGGCAGCTGTGAGGTCATGTGACGTCATCAAAGGTCACCAAAGGTTTTTGGCCAATAACTCCGTACAGGAACAAGATACAGACGCGTGGATGGTCTCATTGTGTTCAGCTCGTCAAGACGCATCGAATGATATACATGATGACCTCGAGGTCACGTGACCTGAGGTCAACCTTTGACCTTGACCTTTCGAGGTCAACATATATATCATTCGATGCGGATTGACGAGAGGATCACGATGATGCCCTTAGTTTGTTCCTATCTTGACTAATTCGAAAGTTATTCGAGAAAAACTCTCTCCATATCTAGCGCCGCCATTTTGACTTTTTCGACCCCTGTGACGTCATCTTTGACCTGACCTGAAAATGACCTTTGTAAAAATTGTAGATCTTGGCCGTGCGTATCTGATGCCGTTTACCGCTTGTCGCTATCTTGCTTTGTTCTCGAGATCTCAGGGGGGGGGGGGCGGTCATCCGCCCCCCCCCCCCCCGTCGGTGCGAAGTTGGCGCAGACCCCCGTCGGTGCGCGGGTTAATATTGTTTGGCTGAGACCGCTATACAGTATACACAATAAGGTATCTAGCTAAATTGGTTTTCGTGATAACTCCTTATTTGTGACTATGCCAATGCCGGTTGGGTCATTTATGACCCATACTTATAACTTGAGAACCGATGGAACAATTTCTTTAAGCTTGCACAGTTTTCTTACTGGGACCCGTGTGGCTAACATTTGTTAAGGACAACTAAAGAATCAAAAAATAAAAATTCCGGCATTAATGGGTTAAAGTTAAAAAATGTTGGAAAAAGTATCATCATCGAAGCGGGCTGGTGTCAAACTTAAATTTAACTCTCTTTACTCACTCTTTGCTCTTCACTCCCTCAATAACGTTACCCTTTATTCCCTCTTTGCTCACGCCAGGTGGCTGTCTGCGCGGCTGCTGCTGCTGCTGCTGTGTGGGTGCGCGGCGGCCCTGCGGCACGGCTCGTTCAGCGAGGACGAGGTGCGGGCCGCTCTGGACACTGCCGCCGGTCAGATTCAGCACCTGCTGCCGTCCTCAGGTCAGTCGATTGGGGGAGCGGGTCGTCGGAGAGCCAAACTGACCTGTTTCTGGACAGGACCCATTCCGACACCAAAACACCAAATATATGCTTTACAATTGACCGTTCCAATCTGAATTGTGAACTCATTTGAGCTTTGTTTCTTTTAAAGTGTTGTATCGAGTTAACCCACGCCCCGTTGGGCTCTGCCGAGCAACGCGCCCCGTTGGGGGGGGGGCATTTTGGCCCCCCTTAAGATCTCGAGAACCACGCAACCTAGCGACAAGCAGCAAACGGTGTTGGATAGCCCTATCAGGGAACTACCTTGTGACCCAATTTTATTGACCTAGGTCAAACCGATGACGTCACAGGTCAGGTCAAAGGTCCAATTTTCACCGTTTACAGGCATTTCAAGAAATGCGTTGTAAAATCGAGTAAAATGCATTTCATTGAAAATCATTGATGGGGAAATGTTCTTCAAACACATATTTTGCTATTTGAGGTCACTGACACCAGGTCAGGTCACAGAGGTCAGGTCACTGGGGGGTCACAATATGAAAGTGTCGTGTGATGCATGTTTTATGGTCCATTTTACATGACAAATGCGATTATGTGGGTCAGGCAGCCTTTGGGGCCAGCTTAGGTCACGTTTTGGTCAAGATCAGGTCAAGGTCAGGTCAAGGTCAGGTCAAATTAGGTCAAATTTCAAAGTTAATATTTTTCATAAAATGGGTATTGAATCGATGCAGCTTGTCACGGGGAGTTCAATGGTGGTCTTTGTTTTGCCGTACGTGGTCTAGAATCGCTAAAAATTGAGCTCAAAAATTTGACGTCATCATTTTTGAACAGTTTTTTCGCTATAACTTGGCCAAAAAACGAGGTATCGATCTGAAATTTGGTATGTATATAGAAGAGAGCAGGGACTATCACATATATTCCGGTTTTCTCGAAATTCGGAAAAAGTTTTTTTTTTAGTTTTTCTAAATAAATCAATTTTTTGATTTTTTTTTTGGGGTCAAAAACCAAAAATTTTGAAAATCCGAGATAGCAGTTTTGTAGCGCCGCTTTTTGTCTACTAGACCATATAAAGAACTTTGAAATTGCTTGATAACTGTAGATTTGGTGAGCGTTTCAAGATTGCATGTTTTTTGCTCATTTTTGCTCGAACATGACCTCAGTTTGACCTCAATAACTCCTGACCTAAGACGACCTTAGACTTGAAATTTGGTGTGAAGGTGTCAAATTGATGCCCGGGAAGGTACTGATAATTTGGCGGCGCTGCGCGCCGCCGTTTTCTTGCTATTTAGGAAAAACCACAGGGGGGGACCAAAATGCCCCCCCCCCCCAACGGGGCGAGGGTGCTCTATGCTCTTCCAGTCAAAATACGACAAATTAATGTCGGTTTGGATGACAGCTTTGTTCAGGAGCTACATCTGTGGCGGCTAGCTTGAGCCATAAAACAAGATTGCAAAGGGACACATCGGTGTCACCCGTTATTGAGGCGCCTCCAAGTTCCAAAGCGTTGTCGGTCGGGTCGGCCGCTGCTGATATTGTCCTTCAGCGGCGCGGCGCAGAGCTGAGGTGTAACCCAGCCAAAGCTGGCCAGGTCGCAGCGTTTGGTCGCATGTGTGGCGCAACACGGCCTGCTCATGTGTGCAGCGTCCCGTCCCGGGCGGACAGAATCGAAGGTGGCCGAGGCTGTTGTAACATCTGACTAAGGACCAGTCGCAGCCAGAGGACATGGGGCTCTCATGGGGGCAGATGGAGGACTTCCTCCTTTCTGATGCTGAAGGGCCCCAGCGGGGAGCCGGAGGATCTCTCTTCTCTGAAGGCCGATTGAGGTCAGGGTAGGAGCTGGTCCTCTCAGTCAGCAAAATGAGGACACAGCGGAAACGCGTCCCCTCAGGACACCGTTGGACGTCCCTCCAAATGAGGCGCAGTACTCTCAGAGGGCCGCTGGGAAGGTCGGGCCAGCGCCGCCGGCTGACGAGCACTGGTGTCTGCTCAGTTGGTCGGCTGTCACGGTCAGCGCCGGCGGCGGTCGCCGACACTGACCCGGGTACTGTCCGACTCCCCTGGGCGCCGCCGCCACTCCGCCCGGCCTCGGCCCGGGCCCTGCGGGCGACTGTCCACAGCCGCAGGGCTCGCCGGCACCGGCAGACCCAGTTCACGCGCCCCATACTGCCGCTCGTTACACCCAGCGCGTGCGAACATTCCATTCGCATGCACCAGTTATTGCGGTGAATTTTGGGAAAACCCTGTGATGAGATCACTGCCAATGTCGCGGGCTGACTAGCAACGAGGGAATGTCATTCGACTAGCCCACGACGCAGGTTATGCTAATGCTGCTAGAGATAAGACGGGATGGCACCGGCGCGGCAGACCAATGCGCTGAGTCAGCCAGGTGTGATTCAAGGCCAAGGCAGGTGAGGGGAAGTACCGTCCTTCAACGGCAGCGTGCTCCGACGACAGGTCATCACTGCACATGGGCATGCGGGAACGTGCTAGTCGGGCCCTGCATTCTGTCTGAAACCTCAATTTGTCGCCTTGATGAAGCATATGTTTCGCTACTAAGACTGGCGCACGCCGGCGCAAAACGTTTGTGTGTGTTTGGTACTCAGTGTTACACATTTCATTCATTTAATTTCATCTAACGTAACAACGAACCCTTAGTTTGATGTGTTTATTTGCCAGCCTATTTCAACTTCATGTATGACAAGCCCCACTGTTCTTTATTAGAATACGCTCATACTGATGTAGGATGCCGCAACGTTTTTATCTGCGGATGAGCACAAATTGCAGGATACATCATGCATCTCTTATCTGCTCATTTATCAGCTTTATCAGTGTTTTTTTTTTCGACCAAATCAATCTAAAGAATCAAGGCCAATAGTTATCAGGCCATCACAGCAAATCTTCAGTGGCACCTGCACAACTGTCGTTTTCACTGCATTCACGTTCCGTTTCTTCGTTCACGGCCGGCCACTGTCGTTTTCATTCCGCGCGCTGTTTTCGATTCACTGTCGTTTTCATTCCGCGCGCTGTTTTCGATTTACTGTCTGGTGTGTTGTCGTGTGTTTCTGGCGCACGAGCGCACCCGTGCCGCCGCCCCGGCTCGTGCCCGAGTCCTGAGTGCGCCCGTGCCGCCGCCGCCCGCCCCGGTCCGTAGCTGAGTGCGCCTGTGCCGCCGCCAGCTGATTGGGCCCGCCGGTCGACAAGACTGGCGCGGATAGGCAGAGACGACGCACGCCATTACGTTTTGTTTACTTGGTGATTAACGTAACGACTCAGGAAAGAGTTCTCGGAATAAATCTCGTTTAACTCATTAAATACAACTCTTTCATTCGGACCGACCGAAACACAACATGGCGCGGTCGGTATTGTGATTATTAAGTGATTGAGTTTTAAAGTATATAGACATGAGTGAGAATGAGAGTGAGGTGCAGACACTATCGGCCCTGCTGCGGAGGCAGGCCGAGCTATCAGCCCAGCGTGAGGAGCGCCTGACGAGCATGATGGAGAGCCTGATGTCCAGGGAGCTCTCCACGGGAATGGGAACGGACACGACTACCGACGCGGCGGGGGCTGAGCGGGGCGCTGACGGCCGTTCCACCACCGCCCGCCCAGCCGTCCGCCTGCCGGCTTCGGCGACCCCGGCCCCGTACCTGACCTCTTCAGCCTCACTACGTGAGTTCACCGTATGGACGGAGAAGGTGAAGGGCTATTTTCTGCTGACCGGAGCCGGTGAACTACACGTGAAAGGCCAGCGCGCCGCGCTGCTAAGCTTGCTAGACGAAGACTGGCACCGAGTAATCCGTTTCGGGCTCGACCTGACTGAGGACGCGACCCCGGACACCGTCATGAACGCCATGGAGGGTCACCTGCCACCTGTAGTGGTCGGTGTCGACCACTACAGTCACCTGCCACCGACCACCTGTAGTGGTCGGTGTCGGGCAGCGCCGCACCTACCTGGTGAAGACGGGAAGCGGAAGAGTCCTCTGGCGGAATCGGCGATTCCTCCGTCCCTACCGGCCACTGCTTGAGACTGGAGGGCCACCCGCCGCTGAGCCGCCCCGCGCGGCCGCAGATGGCGCAACGCCCGGCGAGTCCGTCCCCGCCACCGTCGGAGCAGCCGCACCGCGGCCGCCCCCGCTGCGCCGGAGCAGCCGTGCGCGCCAGCCCCCCGATCGCTTGTCCGTGCGCTGGGGTGGTGTGACCTATTCTCCGTAGTGAAGACGACCGCAGTCGTCTTGGGGGGAGATGGTGTGTTGTCGTGTGTTTCTGGCGCACGAGCGCACCCGTGCCGCCGCCCCGGCTCGTGCCCGAGTCCTGAGTGCGCCCGTGCCGCCGCCGCCCGCCCCGGTCCGTAGCTGAGTGCGCCTGTGCCGCCGCCAGCTGATTGGGCCCGCCGGTCGACAAGACTGGCGCGGATAGGCAGAGACGACGCACGCCATTACGTTTTGTTTACTTGGTGATTAACGTAACGACTCAGGAAAGAGTTCTCGGAATAAATCTCGTTTAACTCATTAAATACAACTCTTTCATTCGGACCGACCGAAACACAACACTGTCGTTTTCATTCCGCGCTGTTTTCGATTTACTGTCGTTTTCATTCCGCTCGCTCTTTTCGATCCACTGTCGGCTTCTCTCCGGGTCGCCTCTCCTGTGCACTGTTCAGCCGGAGTAGGTCACCCCCTCCGGCCACTGCAGGAAGGTCACTGCATGCAACCGGCCGGCCACTTTCAGCATCCAGAATGCAAGAAATCGGCGCGCGAGACACGCTCGCCTCTGCAGCAGTTGGGAACAGCGCTGACGCCTGCTCGCCGTCACTCTAGTCCGATGGCAATGCTCCAGGATGACAGGAGCAAACCGATCGACGTTACCCAACGGACCGGGTGCCGGCGCGGCTGGCAATGCGGCGCACTGAGCACAAACGTGACGGCCGCAGGCGTCGTGTCACGACGTGACGTCATCTCGGTCGTGACTCGTGAGTCGGCACTGCAGGCGACTCGGCGCTGACT